ATTGCTGATATGTGCTGCTCTCCTTTGCAGGATGCTGGCGTGTACACCCTTCACAGTAGCCTCCTATTTCTTCCTGTGGTACCTGCCTCCTTTTGTAGCAGGAAGGGTTGCCTGGTACCTCACTTTCTATTGCCTTTTCCAAGCACTCACCACAGTAAGTAAATTACAGCTCACAATGCTCTCAGCAGCAACACACTCCTCCTTTCTGTCTATATTACTGTATTCTCCCTTAGTAAATAGAGGTTTACCAGTGCTCACTTTATATTTTAACTTACAGTGAGTTTTAAAGGAAAGGCAAATGTCCCATCAAACTGTCTGCTAGTTGAAGCTGTGGTTTCTGCCCAATGGCTTGCTAATTCCTTGCATTACCTCCACTCACTTTATTTGGCAATTGAGGCTAACACTGATGACTTAGAAGTGTCTGAAAATCCTGCACAAGAAAGGTATGTCAGCTGAAGACCAATGGCACAGATTTGGGGATAGATAGTATAAGAAACCATTTCGGCCTTTTGGAAAATTAATGTGCTGCCCTAGGTATTCAGCTCATTCTTGACTAGATCATCAGAAACATTCACTTAGCCATCTAACTTCTCACTTAGACATCTAGCTTCTCGCAGCCTCTGTTTTCAGTGGCAGGTTAGAAGGCCAGAGAAGCCTGTGGCTCTTGTTCCAGTATTTTGACTCAGGATGGAAGGCAATGACAGTCAGAGTCCCACATCTGAAGCAGACAGAGTAGACAAGTCCCCCATCAGTGGATAGAGAAGTTGTGTTGCCCCTTTTTGTAACTAAAATCAAGCTGAACCTATCAGCGTGTTCAGCTTTTCTCCTGTTTGCATGTGTTTTGAACTTGGAAATTCTGTATTCCAGTGTCTAGCTGGAAGGTTTCCCTAGATCCTTTCATTGCTCTAGACAAAGGTGGCCCAGAACACATTCAAAATGCCTTAAAATTATTTCTCCCCTTTCTCTTCTAAAGGCAAAATGTAGGATTTCCATGACAGAGTTTGGAAAAAGTACACATTTTTCATTCCTAACAGAGGTGAATAGAAATAGATTTTGTATATAAATTAGGATGATAGGTAGAATAGAGTAGGATGTTTTGCTTATTATTTTGCTTGGGCACTGACCTCTCTGGTGGTGGAAACAATCAGTGTGTGTCACTTGTTCAGCTGGGCTCATGTACCATTTCTCAGTGGTCTGTGAACCACAGTTTGGCCTGACTCTGACTGTTTTCCCAAATTACTGTATAAGCTGATCCTCCTTGCTGGAGAACAGGATTTGGAGTAGAAGGATTGTGTTACTTCTTATGGCAATTTAGACAATTGATTTTGAACCTGGGCAGTTAATTAACTTGATTTATTTGTACATCTTTTTGGCATCTTTTATAAAATAAGCCCTTTGTTTACCTACTTTACAAAGAGGATGATGATTTGTAAGTATTTATATGATGATGAAAATCTTACAATTATTTTTGAGAGGATAAATTACTTCGATATGGGATTGTCACTGAAAGAGGTGGAGGTACAGGATGAGAAAGGACAAAAGCACACGATAATTGTGAAAGTTTGACCTGCCTGTTGCTCCAAGACTCTCAAAGTTGTCTTTAGTTGAGCTTAGCACTATGAGGAGGGGGTCCTGCTCATGTCATTATTATCCAAAAGATGAGGCTTTTGAATTTAATAGTTATTTTTCAGTTAAGTACTTCTGGTAAGGTGGGGCTCATCTATAAGCAGTACATGTTACCAGCGCCAAGTGTCCTTAAAAAAAATCACAATAAGGTAAAAATGACATAATAGATATAGTGCTGTAAAAAAAAACACTCTTCCCTGCTACCTTTTTGTCAGTGGCTGGTCATGTGGATATGGGTTTCTACCTATCCTGACTCAGTTGAGGGACTGCATGGCAAAATAGTGCTGAAGACCAAGCGGTTTGTAGTTTTCATAATTATCTCTCTGAATTACATAGTAAGATGTACACTGAGAGCATCTAGGGGTTTTATGCAGTTTTCTGCTTTGAATAAAGTGGTAAATTCTACTGTCTCGGGCTTTGCTTCCTAGTTAGCTCAAGCTGGGACCATGACAGTCTCCCAGTGCAAAGAACACTAGATGGTTTATAGCCTGTTTTTCCCAAGGAAGCTGGAGGAGCACAGCATTAAGGAAAATGCTGTTGCTAAGTGGTTATTTATTATTTGTATTATGAAGGAGACGCCTTTCCTCTTACACTACAAGCTTTACAAGCCAAAATGGAAAGGCAGGGCTTTGTGCTTAAAGCATCTGCTAAATGAATGGATTCCAATATTGAATCTCACCTTTTTTTTTTTTTTTTCCCCAAGTGCCAAAGGAACCCAACATCTTCCCTGAGATGTTTCCCTAAGTCATGTTCTTTCTTTGTGTAGTTATTCCAAGTCCTGTATTCTGCTCTCACCATGTTTCTCAGCACAGACCAGAAGGAGAGAGATTCTGCAACCGCATACAGTGAGTATGAGCGGGGCTTTGTCGTGTAGATCTGCTTAAGACCACTCTGTTTTTGTTAGAAATGTTAAAAACATTCCTACAACCGGACTCCCACACCAAAATTTTTAATATCTAAGGAAGTGTATTTGATTTGTCTTGTAAATATTTTACTTTTTCTAGTTAAGTAACTGACATTAATATTTTATTATCTCAAGTTTTATTATTCATTTATAGGTGATTTGTAGAGGGGAAAAAATACTGCATAGTGATGATCTCCTTTTACATTAAATGTTGAAAGTATTTTCCTTCTATTTAGCTTAATTTTGGGAGGGGTTATGTGTTCACATCATCAGTTCAGATCCCTAACCTGTGGTCCCTGGCATGTGTGTTAGATCTCACAGAACCAGGCTAGTTAACGTCATCAAAACGGGAGAGCAGTTTTGTGTGCACGTTCACACCACTTAAAATCCCTCTTTATTTCATCTGTGCCTGTTTAATTCTAACATATGCCAGATATTTCAAGGAAAAACCTTGTTGTAAAATGACCACCACTCTGACTGTATACACTAAAAGAGTGAGGGCTTCCAGACCATGTGTTAGGCTCTTCATCAAGCAAAACTAGACAGAGTTTTACTTCGAAGCAAATCAATCAGACAAAAAGAAGAGCAATGAAAATCTTTTCAGGCTCTCCTGTGTAGATCATAAATAGCATATATGTAAGAACAGTTTCTTCCCTTCCTACTCTCTTCTGCTTTGTCCTCATGCCTTCCTTGCTATGTAACTGCTGTCTCTCATGGCGACCAGCATTAACCAGGTAAAGGAAAAAGACTTCTTAAATGCCACGTAAAAGACTTTTCTGTGTCTTAACTTGGTCTTTGATGTTGCTTTAGGCTAACTTGTTATTTTTTTCTTATATCTGTTTTCTCCTCCTGGTAAGAGCTATTTTCTGTTAGTCCTTTCTCAAAATACTCACTTGAGTTAAGTTGAAAACAAAACCTAGATGTATAGTGTTATAGCCAAAAGCTCTAAAAAATCCTTTCAGAAATTCTAGATATAATATCCCCTAAGCATCCCAATCCCTTCCCAGCCTCAAGGAACATATGTACTTTGCATTATTTCTCACATATCTCAAGAGAAAGCCTGGGCTAGCAGTCAGAGGAAAGGGCTAAAGAGCAAGAGATTCCAGTTGTTGCTACACTCTTTGGCACTGACACTGTATTCTGAGTCATCTGGCCTAAATTCTAACTCAGTCCATGTACCTAGTGTCTTTTATTGTTTCATTTTATGTCTTCAGAGGCTACGATCCAAACAAATGTGCTTTCCTATCTGCTAGCCCCATGTAATGCCTCATGGGCATGTGGAATATGCGGTCGTAAAGGCTGCCGAGCTCCATGGCTAAGAGATGCTCTGCATTTATAGTGTCGTTTTATTGCTCAGCAGAGGGCTTAACTTTTGAGTGGAGTTATCCTGCTCAGCCAAGTCATGGTTGTGGAGTAATTTTGACTTTTTAAATGTTGTTTTTGTCAATTTTGCCATTATATTTGTTGGGAGCCAACTTTTCCTGGGATGGTGATGGCTATGTGACAATTTTTGTGTGGATTTTTTGTTGTTGTTGCTCTTTTGTTTGCTTTTAACAAGGCCTTTCATAAGCTCTCCTCTCTTGCCTCTCCTTGGGTTTCATAGAGAATTCTTGTCGATAGACTTTCTTGGATGCAATCAGTTGTTCAGGCATTGCTTCAACCGTTTAAAGAAAAACATCTGTGTAATATGAAGTGCTATTTTTTACAAGGGTTGGGATTAGTGGTTTCACTACCCTCTACTGGAGGTAAGTAGAACTGTCGTAATTTTTTGCCCTGCTCCTTACTCTAAATGCATTATAGATATACTGCATTCCAAAGTTGTTTTCATTGCATTTACTTTCTGGGTGAAACAGAACCTGCTTCAAGGTAGGAACTGCTCTCTGAAGGATCCATTTTCTAAATTCAGGTGGAAAGTAACACCTTATAAATACTGAGCACACAGGAACTTTGAAACCTGCCTGATTCTTAGTGAAGAAAATTTTAGAAAATAAAATTTGGTAATAGGTGGGATTCCATTGCCTGCAATGGTGTTCCTGAGCTTTTTGCTCTGCAAGAACTTGGTAAGCTGCAGATGAGGTGTCCCAGATAAGGCTTAGGGAAGAATAATGTTTGCTTGGGTTTGGTTTCTTCTATCTTCCCCTCTTTATGTAACATAAATCTTCCATGTGGAAGCATTACCTATTTGGGAACATGTTAGCAGTTATTAAAATCATCCAAGACTCCTAGGAAGCTGGTCCTTCCTCTTCCTTGTTTCTCTTCCGTGGTGCTTGTGGCCCTTGTTATGCACTGTCTGAACATCTCGTCATTTCTGTGTTTTGTCCTCTTGACGCAGACACAGAACAGATCCAAGGTCACCTAGGAAGGTGGTATCAGAGGAGGTGAACCTGAATTTAGGGGCTTTTGAAACATGTCTCACTTCCCAGGAGTGTGTGACAACCACCAGGGCACAGCCTGCCCTGGAAGCACCAGTGAGTTGATGGGTGTCATGGGGCCAGCGAAGAATAAGTAAAAGGAGGTCTGACATTAGGTCAACGGGAAAAGTATTCCCTAAAAAGGCTCCTCTCCCAGATCAAGGTGCCTTGGAGAACTGACTATGGCTCCAAGCGGTTAAGAGCAGCATCTGCTGTTCCAAGAACTTTAGAGCTGTAGTATTTCCAGCCTAAGCCTGAGGTAGGTATCATTTCATTTGACAGCTGGAGAAACAAGAGGTCTGAGCAGATAAGTGGCTTGCAAACTGTTTCACAGAGCTCCTGTCAAATCCAAGATAAAAGGCCTGATGTGATGGCTCCTCTTTCTGCTTTGGAAAAATGACATTCATCAAAAAAATGTAGCTCAGCTGGGGTCCTCTAGGTGAAATCCCATCTCTCAATCCCAGCCACGTCTACCAGGCAGACTCTCTGCAAGAGGCTCTTCTGAAAGCTGAACAGAGAATAAGTGACTAAATTGTCTTTCTTTGATACTATTCTGTAACTGACCATTCAGTTCTCCTGCTTTGTGTTGCTTTTTCTCCTTCTTCTCTATCAAACAAACATTGTTTTAAGCAGTTGTTCTTTAGTGAGATAAATGAGCAGGCTTGTGAACAGTGGAGAAATCGAGTTCTCTTCCTCAGCACACATTGGTGCTTCCTCCTGCAGGAATGACCATGGAGGTGCTCGGGACCTTGTTTGGAGCTGCACTCCAGGGCCAGATCATGGCCAGCGCCCACGTCTTTCATCACTGCACCACGAACGTCTCTGCAAACACGACCAGCCACGGCATCTCCCTGCATGAGCCCAGCTTTCCTGAGCCCCTGGACCCCTTGTCTCATCCAGTAAGTGTCCCTAGGAGCAAATAACATCACTTGGCAAGAGGGGCTTGGGGGTAGCTGGGCCTGCCATAAGCCGGGCTGCTCTTTTCAGTGTCTGCACCACTTGGTAGCTGGTTAAAGTGTTCGTAAAACTACTTGCTAGGTAACTTTTAGTGTGTATTTTAACAAGAGGCAGAATAACATCTATTCTTTGTTTTTAGCTTCTAGTAGGCCTTAGCTCAATGCAGAGAACTAATGTGCTATTACAGCTGGTGGCCTCTGAAGAGGAGTAGCTGGGAGAGGTGCAGAGTTCTTCAGCTCTCTTCTGTTTCAGACCTGAAGAAATGAGAGTATGTCTGAAAGGTTGCCTGCTTTTTTCCAACTGTACGAGTTGGTTTAATTAAAAGTATTACCTTGTCCTACAAATCTCATTCTGGTTTTATCCTTAGAACATCATTCCTATAACTTCAACACTTAAAGTGCAACTCTGCAAAATTACTAAATCAATGGTTAAAAAGAAGAGTTTTCTTTGAATCTATTTTTTTTTCTTGTTATTTTCCTTCTTTGGTGTAAACTCATTTGCTCTGAGGTTTTCCTGTTTATTTGTTGATTTGTGTTTTGCTTTGTTGTTTTCTCCTTCTCCCACTCCTGTGGCAGCCTCTCCTGCTTTGTAGGTGAGTATTAACCCGTGGAGGAAAATGGCCTGGATTATGGTGTCCAACCATAATGGTTGTCCCATGGGTGAGGTTCTCTTTCCTGCTTGTTTTCTGCCTCTTTTCCCAAGAAGCCCTGGAGCAGGGGCAGAGATCACAGTGTCAATGAACTGCTCTGCCAACCCCAGTCCCTACCACACCACCCTGTTTTGTGAGGACCACAATTTTTTTTCACTTTAGTGTGACCTGGCACCAGGTTAGTTGTATTACAGGAGCGTGCATGGCCACAGAGCTGCATGGAGAGCTGCCTGACATGGTTTGTAAAAGGGCCAACAAATTTGGTTTAGGGACAGAGAATCCCACTTGGCCTGTCATCGATAGCCTTAATAATTTGAGTGGACAGAGCTCAAATTATCCTTAACCAAGACAGAAAGCATTTAATTCAGTTGCTTTGAGAAGATATTTTGAGCTAAATTAACTAATAGATACAAAATATGTTAATATATACAAAAATTACAATTCACAATAAATCCTTTAATTATCCTTTTTTTTTTCCAAGCTTCTTCTGTGCTGGCTAGGCTGTCTTTGGGGCTGTCATTACTTTGTTTAAGTGAATTCAGGTATCTTCACTACACTGCATAATGTGGTCAGTGAGAGCTGTAATATGTAGTATAAATCCCTCTGATTTAATTTCTAGCTAAGATATTAAAAAACCTTTATCCCAAATAAAGAATAGCCCTGCCTTCCTTTATTTCAGTATGTCCTGTTCTGAAACATAATTCTCTTGCGAAAGTTGCCATCTTGAATATTGTCTAGCTTAAGTAGTTCATATAGCAAATTTTGCCTCTATGCTGTGCTTAGATTTGACAGTACGTCCTTGTAATTGCATGCCTATTTTCCAACTGGTCCTTAAATTTATAATCCTGTCATTTGCAGCGTATTACTGAAAACTCAGAATTAAATTTTCCTATCAAATAATCAGTGTGTTACAAGCCTCTATCTCCAGCACTTACTTATCTTTTGTAGCAGAGTAGAAAATAAATCATTACAGAATACTAATTCAAACTGTAATTTTAAATCTTACCTCGAGAACCAGCGTAATGAGTCTGAAGTAGTAAATGTAATTTGATGGCACAGGAAGTATCCTGTGGAGGACATGTTCCCCGGGCTAATAGAAAAATTTGAGTAAATTGTTAAGCATCTGGAAAAATAAGCAGGTAATGTACCATTCTCTCCTTCTCCCTCTCCTTCTCCCTCTCCCTGTCCCTCTCCTTCTCCCTCTTCTTCTCCCTCTCTCTCGCGCACTCTCTTTCTCTCTTTCTTTCTCTCTTTCTTTCTCTCTTTCTTTCTCTCTTTCTTTCTCTCTTTCTTTCTCTCTTTCTCACTTTCTGTCCCTGGGTTTATACTGAAGTAGCTGTTTGTAAATAAATTGCAGAAGTGATTTTTTTTCAGACAGGTAAAAGACAGGCAGCTGGCTGTATGAAGGTGGGCAGCTCTTCAATTGCAGAAGACTTACCAAAAAGAGACTGAAATTTTCCATAATGACTTCTCATTCTCTTGCCATAATTTCAAATATGTCTTTTTTCTTTTCAAAGGCAAAGGTTTATATGATTGCAGCAGGGGTTATAGGAGGTGTTTATCTCCTTGGAATTGTGATTGTTTTCCTTGGAGTAAAGGAAAAAGATGGTAAGATACATTTACATATGCCTAGATTTTATTAATAATTAATTCATATTTAGCTCTGGAAAAATGTTTGTGTTTTTCATTCTGCTCCTCTCAGATCCTTACGCCTTAACTTCAGACAGAGCAATCCCTTTTTGGAAGGGCCTTCGCCTCACCATGAAGCACGGTCCCTACGTGAAACTCACAGCTTCCTTCCTCTTCTTCTCCACGGCGGTTCAGGTAACTCCAGGCTCTCTCAGTCCCTCGCTGGCCCCGTTCCAGACCCGGCACGGCAGAGCTCGGATGCAGATAACCTTTGGCTTGTGACTGGGGTGGTGATCTCAGGGGCGGGCCCTTCCCCTGTAGATCAGCAGGGAGCCAGGACCCTTCTTTGGTGCCTGGGGCCCTGTGCAGCTGGAGATGGTTCTTTCAGATGAGGAGGAAAACCAAAGTCCTGTCTGTTTAAAGATGGCTTTTTTTTTTTCATAAAAGGTGAGGAAGTAGTGCCAGTGACCCAGATTGGGTCATTATATGCTATCCATCTGCAATCTCCTGTGGTTTCAGTTGCTCAGAGAATGCTTTTTCTCTTCTCTCTGTTCTTCTCTTCTAGTGTGTGCAGCTTTAAACCATTGCCCCTTTCCTTTGCATAGGTGACTGCTCTCTAATAGTGACTGAGCTGGTTCTTACGGAGTATTTTGTGATGGAAGGCATTAGGTCAAAGTAAAAAGATGTTCAGACTCAAGGGCAGGAAGTCTTAACTGTTTCAGAGCTCATTTTCAATTCAGGACCTTGCCCAAATTATGTTGTATGTCATCCCATAGAGAACTGCTGCAGAAAACCTTAAAGCAGCTCAATAGGAAATCCTTAGTCCAGTGATTAAAGCAGGATTTTTTGTGTGTGTTTTTTTTTGTTTGTTTGTTTTGCTTTGCTTTTGTTTTTTAGTTATGTTCAGCTCATTCAAAAGTGTTTTTAATGTGAACTTTTCCCTATGCCCCTATCAGTGCAGGCTGGCCTTGCTTAAGAAAGCACATAATAGCCATGTTTTTGTCACCAGACCATTAGCTGCATGAACTATTGATCACAACGAGCACCAGGCCAGAGCACAAGCACTGGGCATGTTAGAGACCGGTGCTGTGCCCACCAGCCAGGCTGCTGAATCAGGAATTTGCAAAGAACTGTCCTTCCCTTCCACAAACACAGCTGTGTTATTGCAGTCGCTGCTTAAAAGTCTGTTTGCCAGAGAAGCAGAAGAGTTTCCTATTGGCCTGGGTTTGTGCACAGTTGAGGAGGACATCGGGACATCCTTTATTGTATGTGTCTGTCCTTGCTGGTAGGCCCAAGAAAGAAAAAAAGTAGCTTTGATCAACAGTAGAGACAGAAGCTGCAAACAGGTCCCTTGTGGTCCAGGCCATTCCAGCGCTCACGTGGTCAATAATGGTAGGACCCACGTATGGTTGGTGGCAGCCAACTACTTCTGACCACACTTGGAGAGAAAGAAGCTCTCTCTTAGTTCAAATCTCCTTAGTTTTCTTCTTGTAAAAGGTGAAGGGAAGGTGTGAGGGGAGGTAGAAGCTGGAAATGCTGCTGTGGCATGAGTATTAAATCCTCCTCTCATTCCACTTATTCAGGGTTACAGAATTTGAACCAGAATCTGATGCTGAGAATCCCTCTGAGTTCTGCGGCCTGATCTCTTACTAGAAGAGATAAGGGCAGCTCTTCCCATCGACTGAGTACTCAGACTTGTGGAGATTTCTGACCCAAAGCTGTACTCCGGAGCCAAGGTTTTAAACAAAACCAGCATTTAGCTGCTTTCCTACAAGAAGGTGGCATGAGAGGCAATTGTAGCTGAAGAGTAACTTGTTTTGGAGTCAGAGCTTCTAGTAAAAGATTTATGGGATTGTTGTGGAAAAAAAGAGCAGTTTCTTACAATAGTTTGCAGCTGTGGCCGTGACAATGACACAAGGCAAACTTGCAACATAGGACAGGGAGTCTTGAGGCAGAATCCCCTTAGAAGCCTGTTCCTTTTTCATCATGGTGCCTCAGAAGCATCGTTTTCCTCTTGCCTCCCCAAATTTTACCCGCACATGAGTCCCGTGAGTGCAGGGCAGTTATTGCATCTTTAAATTGTTGCAGATAAGGGAAGACTGAAACTACCAAATACTGCACTCAGTGCATTTAGCAAATCAGTCACCAGATATGTTCAGGGTATATTTTTCTTCTCCCTTCCTTTCCTGTTCCCCTCACCCTCCTTTTTCATTTTATTTTGTTTTTTTGTTTGTTTGTTTGTTTATTTATGTGGTCATCAAATGTCATCAATTCACCAGCTGGAGCAGAGCAACTTTGTCCTGTTCTGCACACACGCAACTGATCTCCGCAATCACTGCCAGTATTTAGTGTTTACCATCTTGGTGAGTTGCCTCTTTTCTCTCCCATATTTTTATTCCGTGGGTGAATTTTGCTGTGTTTTTTTAGCACAAACTTAGCAGAAGACAGGAAGAATTTTGTGTCTAGACAGTCGCAAGTTGCTACAGCATCTTTTGCAATGTCTGTTTGAAATAAATGTGATGTTCCCTACTGTAACTTTTAAAGAATTAATGCTCTCAAGCTTTTAATTCATTCCTTCTTGCTTTTACCCGTGAGTCACTTTCCACTCCTCTAAAAGGCAAAAGTTGTTGTCAGAAAGGAGGTGTGGAATTTTAGATCCTCTTTTCCTTTCCCCAGTTTGATACGCAAACAATTAAATAACTTTCCTTTGTCTGTTCATTCACATGAGCCTTCTAGGAATAAATATTTAAAATAACCAGAGACCTGAAGATTCCTGCCTTGAGTGCCTGGCAGAATGAAAAAAGACATTTTTGCAAAATCCTTTTTCTTGACACTCCAAAGTGGGATTCTGCTCTACCTAAGCAGTACTTAAAGCTGCTTCTGTAATGCAAGCTTTACTTCACTAGTAGAAAACTGCAGTTTTCAGGCTTCTGACCAAAATCCTGTTATAGCAAGTGGACAGTTCAGTGCTGTGTAGTTACTGGGATGTGTATCTGCTGCACATTTTAGTGGTCTGTAGACACTTTGGCTAACACACAGAATACTACAGCAGTCATTTTTAGGGAGGCTCCTGCCTGATTCCTGACCTCTTTGGTACAGCAACTTTATGGAATCATCTTAGGGGAGCTTCATTTCCACTTTTTGGCCCCCTCCCTGCACCATCTCTACTCTTACTGATTCTTCTTTTCCCATATTGTAAGACAGATGAGGCTCCACAAGTAATGGGCACTAATGAGAGATAGAAGACAGTATAATTAAGGAGAATGCAGAGTGGAAGATAGCTGTAATAATGAGGTGACATTTGAATTTTGGTCAGTTGTAGGACTGTCATTAGTAGCAATTCTCAGGGCACTGTGATGTGTGTAATTGTTGCTCTTACCAGGTGAGTAGTGCAGTCTATGATATGGTAAATGTCTCCTTCTCTGGCAGTATTCAAAACCTGCTTGGACGTGGCCCTGGGCAACATGTTCTAGGTGTCCCTGCTTGTGCAGAGGGGTTGGACTAGATGATCTCCAAATGTTTCTTCCAACCTCAACCATTCTGTGATTCGTTCTGTAATGTCAATTGTAATTGAATATTTCTCTTAGAGGTTTTCTCTGAGCATGTAGCATGAGATATTTATGCTACTTAAGAAGTTTTGTCTTGTGCTGCAGCTTTCCTTCTATATATGGGGCCTAACTCAACTATGAGTCAGCTTTCAGATTAAGAGGCAAAAGGCTTCAGCACAAACTATGACTATTTGCAACAGGCTTGGACTTTAGCGACTATGTCATGTAGCTCTAGAATCTTATACATGTATTTAATTTATGTGTATATATATATATGCGTAGCCTTTCATCAATTCTAGGCATCAGCAGCTGTGAGCATTCCTTTCTGGCAGAAGATTCTGCAGCGATTTGGCAAGAAATGTGCAGCATGTGGGATTTCGGTAAGCAAACCCGCAGGGGGGAAAAAGCACTTGTGCTCGTGTAATGTGACAGTTGGAGCCTCTTCAGGAGCTGTTTCAAATGCTTGTGACCTCAAGCTGCAAGAAATTTGTTCAGTTTCAGAGTTTGTTTTAAATCATAACACTACATTTCACGCAGAATCTGAGTTTTCAAGAAAACTCGGAGAAATAGCCTGATGCTGAAGGGAGATCCCAGCTTCTGTAAGAAGCTGACCATGCTCTGCATTTCAGTGCTGTCACAGAGCTGAACCCCAGCAAAATTTTATAGATTCAGATCAGTGTTCTATCAGCCAGAAGGATTATCTTTTGTATAAGGCTTGTCTGTGGTTCAGCTGGTCACAGAGAGATGTGTGTTCTTTATTCTTCTCTGAAAACTGAGCAAATGTTCCTATCCCTGTGATCAGAGGTGGATGGTTATTAGTGAAGTATAAGAAACAGGTGACCTACTTGAGCAAAGAAGCTTAGTTTAACTCTGGCACAGGTCTACAAAGGCAGCTCAGCAAACCTGCCCTGGTCTCTAATGGATCATGTTAAGTCCCTCATTGCAGAGAGCAGCAATTTTCCATCATCATCTTCAGTGAGTCACTGTGTAGGGCTTCTCCTCCCCATTTTCCCTGCTTACCTTTAATTGCTCATGAAGGAGGAAAGAAGGAAATCGGTGACTTTGTGCACAAACAGCACAAGGACTTGGAAAACCCAGCCTGCAGTTATATGTCAAAATCTGACCAACTCCAAGAAGCTTAGGTCTGGTGGCAACTGATAATTGTAATGGAATAGTTAGTGGAATAGTTAACTTTTGAAACAAAAATGTCTGTTGGAATGCCTTCCACAGAATCAAGAGTGGTTTTAACATGCAATTCCAAATACGCTGAACTGTGAGGTGTTCTGAAGTGAGCATCTGGAGCTCGTGTGTAAGGCCCATCCTCCTTTCTTTGAACCACTTGAGCAAAGAGAATTGCCAAAAGCAAAGCTGGACCATTGAGGGAATGCAAATTCCCTCCTCAGGAAATTTCTTCCTCTGCCTACTCAACTAAGAAAAATGCTTTTCTTCAACCAGCTTGGCTCTATAAATGCCGTTTAACATGACTGGAAAGCCTCTCAGCACCTCTGTAAATGTGGTTTAACTTAATTTTGCAGTTCAGTTGCTTCGCTGTATTGTGATCTAAGTGGGGGCGGGATTGAAAAAGCCACCTCTTTCTCTCACCTTGCACACTTTTCTCAAGGGATGGTGAATGCTTCCTGTGTGCTCAGTGACAGATTTTGTGTCTGGCAATCACAGGGGCTTCCTGTACTACCACCTTGCGTGATCTGTACAGAAAATCTGTCCTCTCCTACTGTGAAATAAAATCACATCGTTCAAAGCTGCTATGTTTGTGTCACTGGAGAATATCCTTCTGGGAGCAAGGGGGATGGGAGAAAACAGAGTTTTCTCCAAAACCTTATTCAGGTTTCAAGGCAAAGATTGAATTTGAAAATTGGAATTTGGAAATTAGTTTTCTGTAAACTGCTCTAAAATCCTTTTCCTTTGCAAAGCAGTTCTGTGTAAAGAAGACCCCTTACTTGTGTAGAGGTCAGAGCAGAGAGACAGTTATAGTCTCAGATTCCTACCACTGGTACTGCTCCTTTTTCACTCATTCCCCTACAAGAGATGACCAGTGGTCTACATACTTGTAAGTGTTTAAACGTCCTAGAAGTTTAGCCTAGACTCCCTGGAAATTCAGACTCATATCCAAGTAGGAACCTTGCCAACGTCCTTCCCATGACTGGGTTTGTGCACAGGCTAAAAACATTTCTGTTCTGCTTTTTTTGTTTTGTTTTTGCTTCTGCTTCCCTATGCTTCTTTGCATGGAGGTGGTCTCCTCTCACCTCGTAAGGCAAAGTTATTTGGTGACTGGAAGTGGATTGCCAAGAGAAATCTTAAGAAGTGGAACAGCTAAGCCTTTTGCCCATCTCTTTTCTAGATGGTTGGCTTGGTTCATAGTTACGCAAGATGTTTAAAAATGGAAGATCTCTCTCACCTTGTACTTGAGTATTAAAGATTCTTGGAGATAGCTGGTGTGTATCTGTGTTTGACCCCTACAGACCTAAATGTGCTGTACAAGAGACCTCACACTCCTAATTTCCACCCTAGCCAGTTCGAGCTTTCACCTATGGCTCTGGGAGGGTTTCACACACGCACAGGTACTTGCCCCTGTCAGTGCTGTTCCTCATCAAGACATGCCCTGGGATGAGCACTTTGCCTCTCTCCCATCCCTATCCCTATTTCTGCTACCCATCTTAGCTGCATCTTCTCCCCTCCTGCCCTTCCTCTACCCAGCAGTGTGTGACACAGGTCAGTGCCACCCTCTGTATCCCCGAGGGTCCCCTGTCATAGGGTTGCCAGTGGATGAAAGACACATGGTCAGTACAGGGTATCATTTTTTATAACTCACAATGCAGCAACCTTTGTCTAGGCAGCAAAGTGCCAATACCAAAGTGTTTTTTTGCTTTACAGATAGGAAAGAATGAGATGCATTAGCTGTTTATTGCCCAGGACCACTGCCCCCATGACTGCCCTGCCATTGCATGAGTGAGACTTTAGGGCACTTAGTCCTTCTGCATCTCTTTCAGTTGAAAATTATAATGATTATTATTATTGATCCAGAATTTGGCTTAAGTACGTGGTTTGTGAATGGGTGCCCCATGTGGAGCCTAAGCTGGTCATAAAGTTTCTTACAAGCAACATAAAATCTCGTATTGCTGGAGTGCTCTCTTGTGGTGAAATAATGATTTTGCCACAACACTGGCCTAATGCAAAGATAATCTGTGTGTGCTGGGAGCTTGCAGGCAGGAAAGGTTATTTTCTGCCTTCTTAGGTTAAAAGCAAATGCCTTAGATGGGGAATGCATTTAAAACATAAACATAATGGATTAGGCTCCATGACTCCCCAAATCAATTCTCTTACAGAACTGTAAATAGCAGCACTTAGAGGAATCACTGTCTGCTCATACCCACAGCTCCCAGGCTGTGAGGACACAGGATTGAAGCACTTCATGTGAAGCTAATCCCACAGCACTAAAACGCCCCGTGGATGAGCCTGCAGGGCTGCGTTCTGCCTGTGGTTCCCAGGGACAGGAGATGGAGCGTGGGTGCAGGACAGCTGCCGTATGCATTTAATCAGCATTTAAAATAGTGGTGTTTTCAATTCTGTAAGCCCTTGGCCTCAAGCCGGAGTTAAGGAAATCTGGTGGATTTAAGTACTGCCAGTAAACAAATCCCGAGCTTCCCAAATTAGTAAAGTTTTGGGGATAGCCTGCACGAGCCGTGCTCTGTAGTGAGCACGTCTAGTTGTGCAGAGTGGGAGTAACCACCCTATCTTATTACCCAGCTTATCTAGATTGATCTAAAGCAGCCATTGAAAATGAAGGTGTAGCTAAACTCTTCTTCATTCACAGCTTGATTTAACCTGTGAAATAGGATATTTGCAGTTTAAAATGACCATTAAGGCCCTGTCACTTCTCCTGAAATGTGGCTTGCTGACATTTCAAAGCTTGGTCTCTAATAAGAAATTAAATAATGCTACTGGCCTAGACCTGGTAACTGGAACTTGGTCATGTCTGTTGTTAAGTTGTCAGAAAAATCTTAGCACAGGCTGACCTGAATCTCCCAGAAGTATGTGGACACAGTTGGGAGTAGCCTGCTTCAGGGAGGCTTCACGATAGCCATTTACCTGCTGTTACTCTTCTTCTGGAGCCTCTGAGAGTTGAGTTGTGTGAATGTGACGGGGATCTGCCAGCTGGCCTCAGGAGTGAGGAGTACATCCCTAGGACTGTTTAATTCACCAGTGCCCTTCTAGACCTGCTGCTGCTAATGGAGAAGGCAGTAATGCTGCTTGACCTCATTTTCTCTGATTCTCGTGGATAGCCAAATCACGTAGGAAATACCAAAATACCATGTTTCACCAAAATCCATGAGGGACCAGGCTTTTCTGCCTGTGTACTGTCATTTCACACTGCAGTGCCTTGAAGGGAACCGTCTATATGTTATTAAATGCTGTGTAGTCTGAGTAATACGTGTTGTTTTTCTTTTTCCTCAGTGGATGATTCCTTTTGCAGTCATGCTAGTGACCATTCCAAACCTGATCCTGGCGTATTTTGTTGCCTTTGTCTCAGGCCTCAGCATTGCAGCATCCCTGTTGTCGTCATGGTAGGAGAATTTTGCATCTCGTGTGGGGAAGGGGCAACTGTCTCACACCTGCATGGTGATCACCAAGGAAGGAGGCAGAATGGGACAAGAGTCACTTCATCCAAGGACTTGCTTCTGCTTTTAGAATGGAGGCTCTTTGTGATGCACTGTGCTTTTTATTTATAATAATTTAGAGGAAACAATGATCTAGGTAGCCAAAAAAAATGTGTTAGCAGTAAATTAGTTGTTTAGGTTTGGTTTCCAACAGGACACTTGGTTTTCTACAGAAAAGGTGAAGTTGGTTATTTCACCCAAATCAATAAATGCTGAGAAATTAAGAATTTAGCAGAGGAAATGTAAAGCCAGCTCCGTATCCCTACTGAGCAATCCTGTGGTATGGACCAAATGCAGGACTGTGCACAAGGACAGGGGTGAAATAAACTGAGAAGTCAAAGTCTGTGGCACTTAATGACAGAAAATATGGGGGGGAAAATCTACTCAAAAAGGAGCAGGTCAGGAGATTTCCTCTCTATATGCAATAATCACGATTTGGGTCAAAATGACCAGAAAACCAGCCTGTCTTTGAAAGTGCTGTTTTGCATTCCTCATTCATACAATTCTCTGAAAACTGAAACTCCAAGAGATCAGGGAAATACATTTAAGCCAGGCTGTCAGAATACATGAACTTTTCTGCACAGAGGGTCAAAAAGCCCTTTTTTTTCTGACAGTAAGTTGTGGAATACTTTGAAAATAAAATGTCAATTTACAGTTGACTTCTGAGTTACTTCCATTCTGATTCCATATGACCAAAATCAGTCTCTGAAGTAGGGAAAAGTGGACCCCATTGGTTTCTGAAAATTGTTTTGTTAGCTTGTCAAGAGCTATTTCAAAATGAGACTACTTAGAGATTCAGAGTCCCTTGAAAACCGGAAACATTTTCTTGATTTTTTTTTAATATCAGAACTTATGCTTGCAGCAAAAGTCACTAAAGTCACTAAGTCTAAAGTTACTTCCCAGCAAGTGTTGGACAGATTTTTTTTATTTTTAGTTTGTAATGTGTGGCTGTGCATTTCTTAAAGGGATTTTTGTCCTCTTGTCAAGTAGTAGGACTTTTGAATTGGATTCTCTCATATGCATAATTAATTACTTCAATCAAATCTTAAAAAAAAAAAAAAAGAAAGAAAGAAAGAAAGAAAAAACCTTCCAGTAAGTTTAGACATTGAGAAGGGATTTTGGCCTAAGGTTTACTTTTATCTTGCTCATTCCCAGGTCAATGCTGCCTGATGTTGTTGATCACTTTCGCCTGCAGAATCCTCATGGAAAAGGACATGAAACCATTTTCTATTCTTCTTATGTTTTCTTTACCAAGATGTCAACGGGAATTGGCCTAGGAATTTCTGCAGCGGGCCTGGAGTAAGTAATATTGTGTTCCTGCTTAGTCTTTCCATGCTGAAAGTGCTCTGAGATTCTTCTGTCTTGATCTCTGTGGGTTGAGTTGCCTTTTTCCCTGTAGCTGAATGTGTTGGCAGCTCCAGTTGGCTGAACACTAGGCCACAGTGACCAGCATTCACTGGCATCATCTAGGTCATCATCTAGGCCACAGTGACGAGCATTAAATCACTTGCCCTGGCATGTTTCAGTTCAGAAAGACCTGAATTCCTGTTAGATTTTTTTTTCCAAATTAATTATGTAAATTTTAGTGGATTATATCAATAAAGAATTGAACATAAAAGCTTAGCAGGTGCCAATACACCTGCTGATACAACTGATTGCTCAGTCCTTGTTGCATCTGGATTGGATTATATCCATGAGCTTATAAATCTTTATACAGGTCGGAGTGTTTTGTGGGGGCCTAGTGACCTGTTTAGCACTAAAAGGATTGCTGATCCCTGCATGAATTTAGGGGACTGGACCCAAGCAGTGACCTAGAGCCTGTCAATCTGGAGGATACTTTGTTTTTTTTTTTTGACAAAAGTTTTGACCAACTTTGTAATAAGGTGTAGAGGTTAGAAATTGCTTTACAAATGGATGAAGACAACGATGCTATTGGGCAGCTCTTTTGGATAGATGCTTGAAAAGCTGATCTTCAGCACTGGGAACCTCTAATCTATTCTCTGTGTTTACAAGTAGTTTATAAACTTCCCTTTGTTGAGATTAGTTTCAGATCCCAGACTATTGCTGTGTTTAAACTGCCTGCTGTTACTGCAGAGCTTTGAAAACTGAATAACCAAAATGACAGAAGGAAGGCTGAGTGAGGCCTGCTCCGTGATCCACTCCTGGCTGTTCTTGCAACAAACTGTGATAAAATTTGGAGAAAATGCTAGAATACATTTTCCCTCCCAAACAGAAACAAAACCAAGTTTCCCCGTTTTTACTAACTATTTAGGAAGAGCTTGAAACAAATTGCTTTTCACCAGTTACCTCCATTCCAGCTGGCTCCCAGTATTTTGCCAAAGCAGATGTTTGTGGGAGAAGGTAGAACGCAGAGTGATGCCAAATGAGCTGTAGCTTTCACAGGTTCATCTTCAGAGGGAAACAAACTGATTCCATAAAATTGGGGGTGGGAATTCAGGTGTATCAGCAGTTGCAGGGCTTTGTGGAGTCCTTGAATCAACAAAGTGCAAGCATGTACCTTGCTTGAGTAAATTTGTCTTTGGTGAGCAGAGTGCTTAAGTGTGAGTTTAATTCATAGTTAAGTATTCTGGTAGAAATGGGTCAGATCATTTGCATACTTATAAAACTGAGTCAGAATGCTTTATTGAAAATTAATAGGAATCACATATGAGGACCATCTCCTTAAATGGGATTCCATGCTGCTCTTAACAGGTAAATGCTCTACAGAGGTAAGGCAGTTATATGAAAAAGAGCACACAGATGAGATTGGGATAAATGGACAAAGCCTCCAAGCCCTATTGAAAGGTGTTGGGTTGACATGTTGACATCATTGTGATTAGGAGGACACCAACGAGATTTGAAACACAGATGAAAAAAGAGATGTTAGAAGAAAGGGGAGAAAAGTCTTTAAATGTTTTGGAGGAAGGGGAGTGGCTTGGGAAGGAGGGGGTCTTTAGAGGAACAAACATCTCTTAGATTTGGACGTATACACACCACTGTTCTTTCTGTTTGTTTAGGTTTACTGGATACAAGCCAGGTATATGTAAACAGTCCGATGATGTGGTCCTCACTCTGAAAATCCTCATTGGAGCAGTCCCTGCTGTCCTCATCATTGTAGGTTTATTTATACTTCTCTTCTACCCAATCACAGAAGAAAGTCGGAAAGAAACAAAGCTGGCACTTGAGGTGTTGAGGTAGGTTTGACCTAGCAGCTGACAACAGCTCATAGACATGTCTTATGAGGAAAGACTTAGCGAGCTGGGCCTGTTTAGTCTGGAGAAGGGAAGACTGAGAAGGGATCTGATCAATATGTGTAAATACCTGAGAGGAGAATGTAGGGAGGATGGGGCCAAACTCTTCTCGGTGGTGGCCAGTGAGAGGACAAGGAGTAATGGGTACAAGTTGAAACACAGGAAGTTCCATCTGCATGTGAGGAAGAACTTCTTTCCTGTGAGGGTGACAGAGCCCTGGAACAGGCTGCCCAGAGAGGTTGTGGAGTCTCCTTCTCTGGAGATCTTCCAAACCCACCTGGATGCCACCCTGTGCCACGTGCTCTGGGTGCCCCTGCTGGAGCATGGGGGTTGGACTAGATGATCTCTAGAGGTCCCTTCCAACCTCAGCCATTCTGGGATTCTGTGACAGGCCAAGTGGTCTAACATGGGACTGTCTCTCTCTGCTTAGGCACTGTAGTCACTATCTTGCTGGTGATTCTCAGTTGTCTTTGTTGTTTGAGAGGCCGCAGCCTGTTCAGTTAGCAATGGAAACCAGAAGTCTGCTCACATGTGATTTGTTCTGCTTTTTACAGAAGAAATCATAAAAGCACAGAAAGCCTTGATGAACACAGAGAGGATACCTCGGTGTGAAAGCTTTGCATGCAGAGACTCTGCAAACCCACTCTCACGTCCCACACACGTTCCGTGAGCATCTTCTGGGTCACTTCCCTGCTCCCGTTTTCTCACAGAGGATAAAGGATGATTCTGATACAGTCACTGATGAATTCAGGCGAGGACAGTCACCACCCACCACCATCCATCACTTCTTGCACTGTTCTAAAATAGACATTACAAATGCTCAGGAATAGAATAGAACTGTTGACTTATTTTTTAAATGATGATGCAAAGCCAAGATCTTGTGGCTACAGGAGGTTCTATGGACTTATGGGCTAAGGGAAAATAATGACAATGTGATGTACTGGGCAAACTTTAACTCAGCGGGAGTTAAAGCTCCCCCTCCTGACCTGCACAGACTGTTGCTAGAAAGGTCACTGTTGATCACCTTTTCTAACTCCTGTGTAATATATTTCACCCTGAGAGGTTGGGCTGGTTTTCAAACACAATCTCAACATACCAATTGCACACCAGTATGTTTGGAAAACACTTTGGAATCATGAAATACATAAAGTTAGGATTTAGATTATTTTGCAATGAAACAAACCACAGATGCAGACATGTTTAGAGAATTTTTCTTAGAAGGAGTTATTCTGAAATAGATTGAAGCAATTTAACTGTATTTTATGTGAATCATAAGCTTACATTTCCAGCTTCTACTCATCTGAAGCTGCTTGTTTCTAACACCTTTAAACTGCTCTTTGGCAGAATATAAGTATTTGGCATTTTCAAAAATGACATCTCCAATCAAAGTACCCGAAATCGGTAGTTTATTCCAAAAAAATAGCCTATGCAGTATGCATTTCTTTAACTTTGACCTTAAATAACCATGGTACTCATCCATTTTTCGTGTGGTGTAGGCTCTCTGCCGCACAAAACCCCAAAGCATGGCTGGCAATCCGCTCGCCCGCAGTGTTTTGTAATAACCACCACACCTGGCTTGTAAATGGTGATTTTTTTGAGCAAGGGGTTTCATCATGCAGGAGATCCGTTCACTGAAAGCTCATTTCTACTCAAGTGACTGGGCTCTGAATGCAGATACCTACATTTGCAGGGCAGAATGATGAATCCAAGAGTTGGAGGCTCATTAATATGAGGCAATCAGTGTAGCACGAGACAAGAAGCTTGTGCAGCACACTGGCTTCTCAGCGTCAGTACAAGGGGGTGTTTTTATCCTGGAGCACAAGTACAACTTGCTCCTGTTTGGGAGCACTTGCTGGAGGCGGCTCCGGGGGCAGAGTTGGCTCCAGGCCATCTGGGAAGTAACTGATGGTGCTGGGCCTAGAAGCTGGGGATCCTTTCACAGAAAGATGTGAAGTAAAATCAGTGCATCCTCTGGGTGTCTCATTAAGTTTGATAAGGAAACCTTCCCAGGCAAGTGTCAGGCCTTAAGAACTGTCCTAATTGAGCAAAGCACTTAAGCCTGAGGAAGCTTTTGAGGCTCCATTTTGGTGCTCCTGCCTGGAGCGTGTGTAGGTAAAAAAAGGTAACTATATTCAAGACTTGTGCTGAACTGATTCCTAAGGCCTTTTTTTTTTCTTTCTTTTTTTTTTTTTAAGTTTCAATCTTGAAGAAACAAGATTTGTGTGCCTGGAATATCTGTGTTTGCAATAAATGCTATAAGTCTGTTTACAGTTTTGAACCTGATCAAATTTGAAATAACAGGTATGCTGCATTTTGAAACAAGTAAGCTATGCAGTAATACCCCACATAGCTCAAAACTCCACAGCAAACAGATCTTTGGGTTGGATTTATTCTGTAACATTTGTGTTTTTTTGAAGAGTCTTCTTTAGAAAGAAAGCAGATGTCCCTGTAATGGCTATTAATATTTTTTAATGGGTTAGATTTTCAGCTGCTGTAAATCTGTAGCTGCCTGACAGTGGATCTGTGTCAGTTTACATAAGCCCAATATGTAGCCTGGTGAATAGAAAAAAAAAAAAAAAAAAGGCTTCTCACAAAACTATCAGCTGTGGCTGATGGGAGACTCGAGCAGGGCCAACTTTGCAGACACTGAACTTCATTCTTTAGTTCTCAGTGAGAAATATTAATAATTAAGAAATGTGCACACTATCCTCGTTCTGCGTAAGGCAGGAGTAATGGGAATTGTCAGAGTGAAATAGAAAGTTTCCATGGATTAAATGCACCAGATTATTTTTATATTTTGAAAATGTCAGATTTTTTTTTATTTGTTTATCAGAGCTGTTAATAAAATGAATGTATTTTTTAAGGGGGAAAAAAAGGCACTGGAATGGAAGCAGCAGCTGCAGGGTAAGATTTTTGTAACGTTGATTTGAGGGCTCAGTGCTGGTACTCTAAAAGGAATTAACTTTGTATTTTCTTGTCACTTTTTAAAATGATGTATACTTGGTGTATCTGTTCAGATCACGTGGCTGAAAGAAGCAGATTCTTACATTGACAACGATTCACATTAAATATTGATCGAACGTAAATCTCCTGCTTGCACTAATTGGTAACAACAAGGGCCAAGGTTCCTTCCTAGGGGGTCTCATTCAGGTAATACCCAAGTACAATCCTAAGAATAAGGGAGATTGGATTGAGGTGGCTGGGTGTCCAATGCCCTGGATTTCTCCACTTGAACACAAGCTGTTCCAACAAATGGATTTCCACTAATAGAGGGAGAAAAGAATCATGGCCTAGGCCGTGGCCTAGGTGCATTAGGTTGCCCTTGCGACGTCCCGCATGGTAATGGATGAATATTCCACCTTGGACATCTGTCTTTAGGAGTTCCCACATGGTGGGACCTCAGGCTTCGGGTCACCGCTTACAGGAGGGGCCCTGGTGAGTTGAGAACTAATTCCTGTAGGTCCAGACTTCACCTCAGAAGAGGCGCTGCTAGATCCAGTCCTTGCTGCATCCCGAGGTCTCCATTCACCTTCTGCATTTCAGGTAAAATCCTTGAAGTGGACCATGTTTTACAGCCAAACCCTCTCTTTGAGGGCTCATAGTTTGTTGCCAGGTATCACTTCTTCATCTCCTATTCCCACGTGGAGATAGAAAATGCAAAACCCGTCTTGGGAAGGCCAAGCTGAGGCCTGGGTTGAGATACATGAGCAGAGTGCTGAGTCCTCTGGTTGCAAACTGAGTGTGTGCTTAATGTATGGATGTGGGCAGCTTTCACATCGCTTAGCTCCAAAATGCGACAATAAATATATTCAAAAGATGAAGAAAAAGCATTTATCTCCATCCAGGAGGCAGAGGAGGAGTCTTTTTGCTGTGTTGCACCTGAGAACATGCAGTCTCTGAAGACACAAGCTGCACAACACAACTGTACAGAGAGGGAATGGTCCTGCACGGGGCAGACAAGGTTCAGCATCGTTTCTGAGGCTTTGACAGAGCAGCATCTCTAACCTCGACCTGAGAGCAGCAGGGGACTTCACAGGTTGCCCGAGTACAGTAGAACCAGTCTGCCCTGCATGAAGAAGGCGGGTTGATTGGTAGGGAAACACGGAGCTTTGTGTGGGAGCAGAAATAAGATTTAATTCCTCTTCCAAATGATGTTAGACGGGACTATGAATTTCAGCTCCTCCCACTTTCTGTCCTCGGTACTGCTGTATTCTGCTGTATATAGTGACGAAGGAGCCATGTGCAGCTGACTGATAGTCGCTTGCTCAGCTTCAGCAGGTAGGAGAAAACCTCTGAGACCATGAACACCTTCCATACCATGACCACCACCAAGACCATGAACACCTCTGAGACCGTGAACACCCTCAAGACCATGAACACCTCCAAGACTATGGCTTTGTGTGGAGACCCGCTTCAGGGACAGTAGTACAGGATGCCTTATTAGTAGATAACTAACCTCAAGGACGGCAGTGCAGGTGTTCTACCAGCAAAGGAGGAGCAAAAGCAACTGTACGGCTGCTGCGTGACCAAGAAGATGATTGGATAGTCTTAATGTAAGCCTTTAGAATATTGGTTTATTTAGTAACTGTGCCGCTGTGTGTGCAGCAAATAAGGTATTCTATCTGGGACAGTACAGTATATAAGTTTCACCTGATGCTCAATAAGGGGTCTTTGGTTCATTATACCAGTGTCCGTTCCTCCGCAAGGTGCAACAAATGGTGCCCAATGTGGAGCCCGAAGACCAGCTGTCAATCTGCTTGCACCGCCCAGCTGAACTCTGGGATTCACGCTGAAAGGAAGGATAAAGATCCCGTTGAAAGGAAGTGTCATTTGTGCATGCACTAAAAGCTTGAAAGGAAAGAGGTAAGTGGCTGGGAACTATGGGGTCACACCTAATGAAGGAACAAAAAGATATTTTAGAAGTCTTTCTTAAGATCTTAAAACAACAGGGCAAGAAAATAGATGAGGAAGATCTACAAAAGGTCCTTGCCTGGGCATCTAGAAATGACGCTTCCATAGTTAGTAAAAAAGTATTTGACCCTCAGATGTGGGACAAGATTGGGGTGCACTTGTGGGATAAGGCAACCACTCCAAGTCTATACATGCCCAGATCCAGACCTCACAGGACCTGACCCGTCAATTGAGAGTTGATGGTGATTGGAATCTGTTTGGACAGTGGAAGTGGGGTTGGCCATGGCTACAGAAACTTATTAGGGCTATTACTTCTATTTGCGATATTCGTCTGTATTACAACATGCTGTATCCCTTGTGTAATGATGCTGACACGAGGTATGGCTTCGCTACAATAGATTAACCTCTGTAGATCACAGGGTGGCATGTATCAGAGGGGGAAATTTTTATGATCTGTAGAGTGATAAAACTATTATGTGAAACAGAATCCAGACTTTGAGAAAGATGTCTGCCCACCTGGGCTGAGCGATAGGGAACATGGAGGCAGCTGCTCAGCCAGGTTCACAGCCGACCTCCTCCAAAACCAATGGAAAGCAGCTGCTCGACCGGGCTAGTAGCCATCTTAACCGCAGACGTCCTCTAAACTAGTTTGAAGGTCAAACACCCGAGAAGGAGGAAGAAAATGAGGAGGCAGGACCCTGAGATGGAGGGCTGGGACCCCCTACTGGTATGCGTGCCAGCGCCCCAAGGAGGGAAGGTTGTGTGACTGAAGGTGGAGCTCGTTCGCCCCCCGGCCTGCCTGCTGGCACCTACTGGCCGTATGGGGCAGGATGCACGGGGCATAAACAGGCAGTGCGGAGATGGGGCGAGACCCCTAACACTGAGGATTGATGGATTAATCATTTAACCAAATTATGGCTGCTCAACTAAAAACTGCTATGGCAACACAACAGTTAAATAAAGAAGGGGGAGATTTGGGGGCCTGCTTCAAGGACAGTAGTACAGGATGCCTTGTTAGTAGATAACCAGCCTCAAGGACGGCAGTGCAGGTGTTCTTCAGCAAACAAGGAGCAAAAGCAACTGTACGGCTGCTGTGTGACCAAGAAGCTGATTGGATAGTCTTAATGTAAGCCTTTAGATTATTAGTTTATTTAATAACTGTGCTTTGCACGCTTTTAGGCAAATAAGGTATTGTATTCCGGACAGTACAGTATATAAGTTTTGTCTGATGCTCAGTAAAGGGTCTTTGGTTCATTATACTGGAGTCTGTTCCTTCGCAAGGTGCAAGAGCTTTGCCCATCTTTGCTGAAAGCCCTGGCACATTCACACTGCACACATGTCTACAGGATTTCCTCTGTGCCTGAGTAGTCGCCGTCAAGGACTTTGACCATTCCTGAAGGCTATTGTCATCTGTGCAAGGCAAACTCAGGCCACCCCTTTGTATCACCATGATGGTGGAATAGGTTTAGGACAGCTGTCAACTTACTATCTTAACTGCTGTTCACATAAGAGTAG